GGACAACAGAAAAGTGGGTGAAGGGAGATGGCGGACAGTGTAAGATATGACAAAATAACAATAATTTATGAATTATGGAGGGCTCATGAGGGAGGGGAGAAAACGAGGAACTGATGCCAGGGGCTTAGGTGGAGAGCAAATGCTTTGAGAATGATGAAGGCAACGAATGTACAAATGTGCTTTACACAATTGATGTATGTATGGATTGTGATAAGAGTTGTATGAGTCGCCAATAAAATGATTTAAAAAAAAGAAAAAAAGAATTGTGCCAAGGAATTTTTCCTTTATGAGAATGCATCTGTTCACTCTTGGAGGACAGCAAGGGCTGTCCTACAAGCGTTCCATCAGGATGGGTTAGGAAAGAAAGAGGAATGGGAACGGGTGAGGGAAGACGTAGAATAAGTGACTACGTACAGTGAGGGGATTGCCACGCATGAGTTAAACTAATATGTAGCAGATTTATTTAATACAAAACCAATTACCAGCTCTTTAAGCTGTCACCTAATTCACAATAAAATCTCCTTACAGAGGGTCACAAGGAAGAGACTAGCCAGTCAGGGTGCAGCAGTATAGCATTGATGAAACACACTCTAGTCCTTTAATTTTTCATACCCTCCACTATCATGACCCCAATTCTACCTTACAAATCTGGCTAGACCAATCATGTACACTGGTACAGATAAGAGCTGGCAATACAGGGAATCTGGGACAGTTAAACCCCTAAGGACTAATAATGAGAGTAGTGATACCAGGAGGGTAAATGGAAGGTGGGGGTAGTGTCATGAGTGGTGCAATCAATGATTACTTAACACTCAGATATTTTCAAATTCTCAGTTTATTCACTTCAAGCACACACCAAACAGTGTAACACACTTCCAATTTACTTAAGTATTAACTATGGGGTAAACAATACATATGTTAAACTCATTATCAAGCTATCAATCATTATCCCTTAGTCCCCTTAAGCATTGCCTTCATCGGTATACTCACCCAGGTAGACTTGGAGAAAGTAGATGATGTCTCCTCCTTGGTTCCTAGCTCTCTGAGTTCAGTCTCTCTACCCTGGCCTTTTAGAGCCATCTTGCTGGCTCCTTGACGTCATTTTGGAAATTCCAAGATGCACGGCTTGAGTTCCTTGAGGATGCTAAAACTGCCATTGGTAAATCGAAGAGCACAGAATTCTATGGTGGGAAGGGTTAGAGAGATGGAAACACTGCCTTCAGAATTGTACAGATCTACATTTAGGTTATGTCAAGAAACAATAGCTTGACATTTTGATATTTTTAAGAAAGTTTTGTGACTTTGTAGCCAATAGATGTATATATTTTTACTTACCCTCATATACTTTGTAGCCAATATATGTACCTGTCTTTTACTTACCCTCATATAAATTTATAGAGTGAGCACACGCAGAAGCAAATGCTATTTCCTCTACACTCTATATTTCTCAGAGATAAATGTTTTGTTCACCATAGGATATCAATGTCTAATAGCTGGCACATATTTAGCATGCAATTAATATCTGTTGAAAGAATATGCAAATCTCTGCTGCAAAACCTGGAAAGATTAGACTGGACGGAAGGGGACCAGACTGGTTAGGCTAGGATTGGGAGTAAACTCTTTGGGCCAGGGATGGCTGGGGTGGCTTGGTAAGAGGAGATGGGTCATGGTGCTGTTCCTCTCTCCCCCATCTGATAACTTGCCTCCTCATGTGCATCTTTTGACTCATCTCTTAGCCTAGGTTAGTTTTCCCCACATGGCTGACTGACTCTGGGGGTTCTGCAGGAGGAACGGCACACCATCCATTGGGATCTTGCCATTGAGACGTCAATTAGCCCAGGTTCTTTTTAGGTTTACAGGTGATAGCTCCCTCCTCTGAGTCCCGTTTCCTTCTCATCTGCTCTATATGCATTGTCCCTGGAGGAGTCTTAGAAAAATAACGGAAATGGGAAAGAAGGGGCAGTCCTTCGGTGGTCACATTGCTGATCTGCTTGTGAGCAGTTAGTCCACCACCACGCGTTGGCATCAAGTCCACGGAAATGGGATGGTGAGAGAGAATGGATTTTGAGGGAAACCTTAGCTTCCAACTCTATGAAACTACCACGTAAATGCGAGCGTGGCTGATCGCGATAGTCCAGTGGTGTGCTCCCCCCAGTGTCTTCGCCTCTCCTTCGTATTTGTGGAGCCCTTCAATACTGCCACGCTGCATCTTTGTATTTAAATGATCTGGGGGGCAAGTGAGCAGAGGCGAAGTATGTACTAGGGGCCAAACACACTGGCATTGAGCTGACTCCAAATCGTAGTGACCCTACAGGTCAGGGTAGAAGTGCCCCCGTGAGGTCCTTGAGAGGCAGTTTCGTTGGAAGGAGTGGTTCTAAAGCTGCGATGGTACAAGAGTTTACATCAGATTGAGAACACTTCGTGTGCAAGAAGAGGAGGAGGATCCCTGACTAACGGGACTAAGTTTAGTCTAAGTCCCCAAACGCAGAACAGGCAGAGCCCTCAGGGCATTCTTGCTTCGCCCACAACTGCATTCCCTCTGGGAACATAAGTTAGCACCCTAAACGGTCCCTACGTGAGGTCACTGTTTAGTCACGTGCTCGGGCCCGCGGGAGCGCCACATCGTCGGCCACAACCCTCCACCCCGCCGTGCCCACGTGACCCGGCCTAGTTTCCACCGACTGGGTCCAACGCCCAGCTGGAGAAGCCCCGCCCCACGCTGCGCGCCCGGCCCGCGAAGCTCCGCCCCTCATCCGCTCCGGCTAGAGAGTGGCCCGCAGCCCCACGTGCTTCTTTCTACCCAATGGGAACAGTCGCCTAGGAGAGAAGAGGCGGGGAGGAAAGGGACGAATTGTTACGTAGTAGAAGGGGGCGGGGCCTCCAACGTCAGGCAGAACGAGGGGACGCAAGCTAGGCAGGCCAGAGCCGCTGCCGTCGCCATGACCCGTGAGCACCGAGGCCCCCTCCTCTTGTCCTTTCCTCCCTGTCTACCCTGCACGCGGCCGCCTAATCGTCGGCATAGACCTCCTCGCAGCTTCCCCGCCGAGACCTTTCTCAGAGCGTTCTTTAGCGACCCTCACACTTGGAGCCCGGAAACCGAGACTTTGCGCCCAGCGACACTTCTAGAGATCAGCCCCCCTCCGTTAGGCATATACCCTCCCCAGCCGTCTGCAGTGAGGCGAGACGCCTTGCGCCCTGTGGTGGGCCCAGAGCCCCCTACTTCAGCCCCAGCCCCTCCCCCCACAGAGACCCAGCCTCGTCCGTGCACCACCACCTGTCCGGGTCCCCATGCCGTCCCGAAACCCTACACCCCTCCGGCAGGCTCCTCGGGACAGCCTCTCTCCACCCCCCAACCCTCCCAAGCTTGACCTGTCCCGATGCAGCTCCACTCCCTCCCTCCCCTAACCCTCCTGTCAGCAACCTGGACCCCGAGATGGGCGGTGTGGGTCCCGGAGGAAGTGTAGAATCTCCCGGGGATCCTGGGGAGGGGAGGAGAGTCGCCAGTGTGTGGCCCGAGCGGCCCCCAAGTCTCACCTTTTGCCTCTTTCTTTTAGGCGGTAACCAACGCGAGCTTGCCCGCCAGAAGAATATGAAAAAGCAGAGCGACTCGGTTAAGGGAAAGCGCCGAGATGACGGGCTTTCTGCTGCTGCCCGCAAGCAGAGGTAGCCCCAGGGAGGGGAGGGGTGGGCGGGGACTCGGGGAGAAACCTGGGTTAGGTTAAGGGTTGTACCTGGAGAGAGAGGGACCTCAGGGCTCAAGCCTGGCCTTGTCGTGAGGGGCAGAATGCATTGCTTTCTTCAGGGTTTTATTTCCTCCCTACCCTCCAAATTGTTAGCTTACAGTCTTACAGGAAGAGACTGGGGCGTGTGCCTGTCCTCAGTCTGGTTTCCTAGTGCCCGTGGAGCAAACAAGGGCAAGGGCAGGAAGCTTCCCATTTCAAATCCAGTCCTGGTGATGAGAGAGCCCCGAATTTTTTGCTCCTTGCTATTCTTTGCTTCACCTCCCTTCTCCCAGCCTTCTCACTGGTGTTCCTGGGTGTGGTACTCAGCACAGAATAGTGAGCATAAACCTTGGGCCTGTGAGGCCAGACTTCTGACCCTTGGGCCACAGCCAGATGGAGACTGGCTGCCTTTTGAGCTTCAGCTCTCTTCCTCTTGTTCTCCAAGGGTGGGAATACAGCAGCCAAATGCTGAATTTTGTCCCATCCACTCCCATCTTACCCTTTGTGCCCTCCATCCCCCTGCATCTTGTCCTTTTTGCCCTCTGGTACCTCCCAGTGCCCCATCATCTCTACCCCCAGGGACTCGGAGATCATGCAGCAGAAGCAGAAAAAGGCAAACGAGAAGAAGGAGGAACCCAAGTAGCTTTGTGGCTTCGTGTCCAACCCTCTTGCCCTCCGCCTGTGTGCCTGGAGCCAGTCCTACCACGCTCGCGTTCCTCCTGTAGTGCTCACAGGTCCCAGCACCGATGGCATTCCCTTTGCCCTGAGTCTGCAGCGGGTCCCTTTTGTGCTTCCTTCCCCTCAGGTAGCCCCTCTCCCCCTGGGCCACACCTGGGGGGTGAGGGGGTTACCCCTTCCCAGTGTTTTTTATTCCTGTGGGGCTCACCCCAAAGTATTAAACGTAGCTTTGTAATTCCTTGAGCGCCTGGTTTGACTGGGGTTTGGGGGTGGGGGGTGGGATTGGAGGAATGGCTGCCCTTTTCCACCAAAAGGGGAGATAACTTTAGACTCTTAAAAGGTTGTGGGTGTGTAGACTGATAAATGAAACATCACCGGAAGAAAAATCTTTTTATTATACTATGACAACCAGATAAGTACTGTGGGGATGCAGTAGAGGAATCTTCTAGTAACCATAGGAACTTTTCTGTGATTTTTGTGCCACCCCCCACCCCCCCAACTTGGAGACTATCTTAAGGATGGAATTGAGAGCCTAAGTGGGAAGATTCTAGGACCTAAGTTTATGCCCTTCTTCCTCATTCTTCCTCAGTCTGACTGCCTGCTTGAAAGTTGGCCCCCAAATCCTGCTGCTCTCAAGTATTCCCATTCTCTTCTCTGTTATTTCTCATGGAATTCGGGTAGTATTTCTCTCCTTGACCTTCATATCAGGATTAAAACCTGGGGTAAGCCTTGTGCTCCTTTCATCCAACGTCCTGGTTTTGTGGTTCTGGGCATCTTTCATTCCTGGGCCTGGGATTGAACTTACTTTCTTTTTAGCCCTAAGGACAGAGCCAAGTCTTTAGTCCCTGTTTGTGCCTCCATCCCCCTTGGCCGCCCAGCTCAAGAACTAGGTGAGGGCGGGTGCCACGCTCTGCTGGGATCAGCACTGGTGCCTGGGTTGCTGACTTGGGAAGTAAGCTCTTGAGCTGGGATGACGATATCATGGGAGCACCACTGAGGCAGATACTCTGCCAGGGCATTAGGACTTATAGGACATCTTGAAATTCAGACATAGGACTGTCTAACTTAAAAGGAGATCATTGCCTGTTGTGTCCTTGAGCTAGTGAACGAGGCTCTCCTGAGTCAGGGCTAGGGGTAGAACCTCAAGGGGATTTCAGCTTATTATGAACCCAGACGGGAGGCCAGGAGCAGCCCCAGATAGAGGAGTACACAGGCCCAGCATGAGGCAACCTTGACCCAGAAGGTAGCCCAGCTACCCCCGGTGAAAGTCTTTTCCAGTTCTGCTTCCTCGTAGCTGTGAAACCAAAGGCTCTGGTTAGAGAATATGCAGCACTTGAGCTTTTCGACTGCCCTGTCTTCCCACCAAAGAGTATAGCTGATCAGTGTGTGTCGCCTGAGAATCCTTAGGAATGGCCTTGGTTTGCTCTTTCCCCCAAATAGCCACGTGTTCCAGAGCATGCCCCTGTCCCAACTCCATCCTACCTGAACCAGTTGGTGAGGGTAACCATGATGTAGAGTGATGCCAGGAAGAAGACAAAGTGGAAGGCAGAATAGCTGTAGGAAAGGTGCTGGGCTCGAGCTGCAGCTGTTTCTTGGTCACTTGGCCTGACAGCTCTTGCCCTTGGCCCTGGAGAGATGGGAGAACGACTGGGAGCAGTTTGATTAAAATACCTCTTCCTGCCCCTGGCTTCTTTCCTGGAGGCTCCCCAGGGCTCTTTGGCACTTTACGGAAATGATTGTTTCTTATGGATCCTCACTTGACAACTCACCTTCCTCTGGCTCCACTGTTTTAGGGCAGCAAAAACAGAGAGAGGGTTTCTGCAAAAAGAGAAGGCGGCATGTCTTGGAATGAACGGAAGGGCAATGTAGGAAACGCCCTGTCTTTGAAAAGGTTAGTCTCCTGGAAAGTGTGGGGGCACGCCGAGGTTCAAATTCCAGCTCTAGCATATAGCTGACCATGGGACCTTTGGTGTAAGTTGTTTCACCTGTGCCTTGATTTCTCCATTTGTAAAATGGAGCAAGTACCTACCTCACAGGGTTGTTGTGAGGATGAAATTAAATGAGATTATGTATGTAACATAGCCAGTGCCTAGCACATTGTGGGTACTCAATAAAAGGTGTTGGCAGCTAGAATCTGAGCATTCTGGGTAGAGGCTGGTAGGATGTGTGTGGGTGTGTATGGTGGGTGTGTGCTGGTTTGGAGGAAGAGGGGTGGGGATCTTGAGCTCTCCTTCTCACCTGAAACTCATAGCTGTAAACCTTGATGATCCACAAGGGCCCAAATACCTCAGCCAGGTAGGAAGCCTCATTACTGAGAAAGAAAAGAGTTTTATGCAGGTCCAGTCTCACCTTTGGGAGGGTGGTTAACTGCTCCCTGAGCAACTCCTTTCCCCAAAATGTATCCAGAGCTTACAGGGATTTAGGAATCTTGTATCTTATGAGGGCCCTAAGATCTTTATGTGTATTTTTAATTCTTGAGTCTCCACCCACTGCCCCAGCCCAGCCCCGCCACCTCATACAGATCATCTGACAAAACGCTATTCTTAGAAAGTGTCCCTGTTCACGGGCAGCTTTCCTCTAGTCTTGCTTTAGAGTCTAAATAAACCACTGACACGGGATGACCATCTCTCCCTCTGGGCGCCCACCCTCTTCCCATACCTTTCTCCTGACACCTTTACACACGCACCAAGCAAAAAGCACACAAGCATACATGATGCCAGCACTCAGCACGGCCAGGGAGCTGTCCGGGGTCTGGGGTTCCACGTTCCTCAGGCCAGGTAGGCACAAGGTGTGATTCTGTCCTTGAAGAATTACTGCGAAGTTATAACAGAAGGGTGGTAAGCAGCAGCTGGGTATTTGGCAGGGGCAAAAAGACATACGAGGTGTCAGAGTCCTGTCTTACCTCTATCTGGAGGACGACTGGAGAGTGCAGAGAAGGTGAGGTACATGATATAGCAGCTGATGATAGAAGCTTGTAGAAGGCCAGAGCGAGTTTGCTCTGGGGAGAATGGGGACCATTTGTCTACAGCAAGGGTCCTCAAACTTTTTAAACAGGGAGCCAGTTCACTGTCCCTCAGACCCGTTGGAGGGCTGGACTATAGTTTTTAAAAAAACTATGAACAAATTCGTATGCACATATCTTATTTTGAAGTAAAAAAACATGGGGCAAAAACACCTGGCGGGCCGGATAAATGCCCTCGGCAGGCCACATGTGGCCCACGCGGGCCGTAGTTTGAGGACGCCTGGTCTACAGGATGGTAAACTTCCTTCACTCCTATCCCCACTCCTCCTCCTGCCTCCCCACTCTCCAGGGAAGCAGAGGTTCTTCTATCAGATACTTGCATAGAGATTTGGGAAGCGAGTGAAATGTGCTATCCTAGAAAGCAGCCCCAAGATGGAATGTTACAGGGCGTGTACCCACTGAGGCGGATGCAGGGAGCCATGGAGAGGAAGGAGAGGAGACCACAGAAGCAAAGGTGCAGACTGAGCAGCGTCTTGTTGAGCAGGCAGCCAGCCGGGTGGGTGTAGTGGCGGAACAAGAGTGCAGCTCCCACACCTGCCATGCTGTAGAAGCCCAGGGTGGCCAGCAGCACTGCTGTGAACCAGCCGCAGTGGTGAGCTGCACCTCTCTCCCTAAAGGTGGGATGTGGGCAATGTCTTGGAGCTCCAACTTTTTCTTTCTGCCTTCCACCATTTCTTTTGGTGTGACTACCCACCCAACTTGGACCACAGTCATCACATTCCTGAGCCTCTCAGCACTGCTCCGTGAGAAGCTCTGCAGCCCCTGACCTGCCTGTCCTCTGCCCCGGCCCCACTCCCAGCATATTGATACCAGGCAGCGCTCCCCAGGAAAGGCCTTAGGGCTCTGCTTCTTACCAGCTCTTGTCCCAGGAGTGAGCAAAGGCTGTGATAAGTATCAGCTGCAGCAGGATGAAAGTGAAGCCTCCACCAATGCCAATGTAGTGCCAAACTGCAAGTGGGTAAAGGGAGCTGGTCACATGGCTCCCAGCCTCTCTTTCCCATTCTTTGACATGGAAAACCTTTACCCTTTCTCTGCGGGCCGGGGTGTGCGATGGTGTGTACCTGGGAAGAGGTGCTCATCAGGGATGCAGAAGGCCACCGCACAGAGACTGAGCAGCAACAGCAGCTTGAGGAGCCAGAAGCTGTTTTGGCGGGAGAGCAAACCAGACTCAGAAGACAAAGCACATTATTAAAAAAAAGAAAAGGCAAAGGAAAGTGAACAATGTCTACAGGGAAAGGTGGAAGAGACAGCAAAACAGGTTAGCGGGTGGAGAAAAAACTAAAGAGAAGAAAAGGTTATTCCACCCCTCGGATACCGTTGATTTTTGCTTATAATCTCACTGTTGCTTTCCATTTTAGAGACTAAAAACTCAGATTACATATCTGGCTTATGGTCACACAGCAAGTAATGGGAAGCAAGGGCCTTAAACCCAAGTTTCTTGTCTTCACAGTGTGATTAATTTATCCTTGAACTTCCTTGACTCAACTTGGGTCTCCTTCCCTCCTTTAGTCTGCCCCTCCTAGAGAGTACACACAAACCTATTGTGCAGCTGTGCCCGTGGGTTGGTAGGGGAGTGGAGGTGGACCAGTAGCACAGCCTGCAGCAGATGGAAAGTGGCGGTTCCTGCACAGACTCTGTACACAGCCCCAGAGCCAGTGAGCACTGGACAGTCAGAGTTGCCAAACAGGTGGACACACAGCCCAGAAGGCATCTGGATCTAGAGAGAGAGGGCATGTGTGAGAAATGGGAGGGCAAGGCATACATGGAGAGGAACCTACTCCTTGCTGCTGGGTCCACTCATTGGCCACCTCCAACCAGGCTACATCTCTTGAAAGGATTTTTAAAAGAAATCATTTTATTAGGGGCTCATACAACTCTGATCACAATCCATACATACATCAATTGTGCAAAGCACATTTGTACATTCATTGCCCTCATCATTCTCAAAAGATTTGCTCTCCACCTAATATTAATTATTATTTTGTCATATCTTGCCCTGTCTGATGTCTCCCTTCACCCATTTTTCTGTTGTCCGCCCCACAGGGAGGAGGTCACATGTAGATCCTTGTAATCGGTTCCCCCCTTCCAACCCACCCTCCCTCCACCCTCCCAGTACCGCCACTCACACCACTGGTCCTGAAGGGATCATCCGCCCTGGATTCCCTATGTTTCCAGTTCCTATCTGTACCAGTGTACATCCTCTGGTCTAGCCAGACTTGCAAGGTAGAATTGGGATCATTATAGTTGTGTGGGGTCGGGGGGAGGAAGCATTTAGGAACTAGAGGAAAGTTGTATGTTTCATCGTTGATACACTGTACCCTGACTGGCTCATCTCCTCCCCTCTTGGAAGGTTTTTTGATTTCAGGATCAAAATATGGGGCAGCCCATATTCTAACCCAATCCCCACCTACTTACCCCATGCCCCTTGCCCCAGACCTTTTCCACTACTGTCTGTGACAACAGGAGGCAGCAGACTGCTGAGGTTCCCATATGTAGGAGGATGTAGAACAGGCGGCTACCAGTGGACTCTCTCAGAGGGGGCCACCTCGAGTGGCAGCAGCTGGCACATGGAGCAGGGCCACAGCAGGACAACTGGAGGTAGAGCAGATGCAGGACAGCAGGGTGGACATTTACCAAGGAAAGACTTACATTAATGTAGGTGTGAGGTTAACCCATGAGATTGAATTTAAAAATTTACTCTTCTGGAATTCTCAAGGTCTGCTTCCAAGGTACTCAGGATTGCTTTCCATTGGCAACTTTCTCCTGAAGACTTTCATAAGTCAGCTCAGCTGCAGGGTTGAGGAAACCTTCCTAAAAGCCTAAGTTACACGTGGCCTCTGACATTTCCCTACAAGTAAACATCTGGGGCTGAGAGAGAATGGAAGAGATTTACTACTCAGTAATTTTAGAGACAAGAAATCCCAGTGGCACAAGAGGTTAAGTGCTGGGCTGCGAATTGTGGTTCAAACCCATCAGCCTCTCCTTAGGAGAACGATGAGGCTGTCTGCAGCTATGAAGACCTGGCAATGTAGCACTGAGAGGAGTGCAAGAGTTAATGGCAACAGAGGTAAATACTGTTATACACAGTCAGTCCTGCAATGGTGGTGGTCTATGAGTAGATGCACAGGTGTGGGAGGGAGAGTCGGACTATAGCCATAAGTGTATGTAGGTTTGATAGAGGATATTTGTAAATGTTTACCCTTGTTGCAAAGATATCCATGAATGCGGTGGAGCAAAGATGAAAACTCAAGACATAATAAGAATAAAAAAAAAGAAAAAAAGACATAATACACACCTTGAGGGCTACCATGGTCCCGGGACAACAAGGTCGGTCATTTGTCATAACATAGTGCCTGAAGATAAAAGCTTTACAGGCTGTTTTGGTCAGTAATGACTGGGGTCCTAAAGCTCATGAGCACCTATCTAAGGTGCAACTCCCCTCATCTGGAGGAAAGAAAAGTGAAGAAAAAGACACATGGAAATAGTCCAATGGACCACTCAAACATCAGCCTCCAGGACCCTGAGACCAGAATAACTAGATTGTGTACAGCTAGCATTACCAATTACGATGAAAAGTGTCATATTAGAAGGCGCTGGGATGGAGCCAGGGAAAAAGGTAGGACACAACTCAAAATCATCACAAAGACCAGGCTTACTGGTTGAATGGATACAGATGGAACCCCAGAGACCATGGCCCTTGGTCACCCTTTGAATTTGGAAATGAACCTCACCCCCATGACTCAGCTTATAGGTCAGCAGTAGACAGGGAGAAAGGAACCTTGGTGCATAGGGGGTACAGGTTAGAAACCTCTAACTGCAAGGTCAGCACTTAAAAAGCACAAGCCACCCCATGGGATAAAGATGAGGCTTCTACTCTGTAGAGAGTTAACAGTTTTCGGCACCCCAGAGGGGCAGTTCTACCCTGTTCTATAGGGTCCACTAGAAGCCAGATGGTAGTGAGAAGGGAACAATAACACCAGTGAGGTCTATACAACTGGGAATAATGGAAGCAGGTAAGATGGAAAGGGCAGCATTTGCCTCAGGACAAAGTTCAGAAAGTAAGAAAGGAGGAGGAATGGAAACATTACCATGAGGATGTGATGTTACATTGTTAGTGTTGCAGTCAATGACATGAAACAAAATGTATACATTGAATGGGAAAACTGATCTGTAAACTGCCCAACTGATAAACAAAATTACAGTTTCCTAAAATTACCGTTCTGGAAACCACATACAGCCGCTCAAGTCTGCCCTATCTGAATGGACTGTAGCGGAGTTTGGAATTTTAGAGGCAAAGAAATAAAAGAGGTGTCTAGGAAATGAACGCCTGTTGCCTTGACTGGGTTGCATTCATTTTCCTCCTAAGCTCCAGCTACCCTTTAGTTGTTAATTTCGATCAAGGGAGCTTTCAAATCTATTTGCCCAAAGACCGTCTCACCTGGTAGAAGGGGGGGTTCATGGTGGCACTGCTGAGTCCACTGCGTTGCTGTGCCAGGCGGAGGGAGGTGCTGGGACCTGTAATCAGCTTGGCGCCCACCATCCTTATCCCGGTAATGAGTTCCAGGTGCACCACTGGGAAAACAGCGGCTTTATTCTCAGCCCACTGGACTGCTTCAGGGGTACCGCTGGCCTTCCAGTTGAAGGCGGAAAGGCCAGAGCGTGGGAAACATTAGGGGAAGGTTCCCTGGGTGTGGTAACTACAAATGCCCCCGTGAAGGTGTTTTCTTCCCAGCGGCTGTACTTCCCCAGATGAAGGAAAATTTGCATATCTGGCCTCCCATGGATTAGCAGTCCTAATTGGTTTAGGATTAGAAATCCACCCAGGTTGAACAGATTGTGTGTATAGTGTGGAGGAAGGATGTCGGTTGGGACATACTGCCGAAGAACATGGTCCGTGCGGTCTGCTGTGGTGACACGTGGTAGGTCTGGGAGAAGGCCTTGCAGAACCCGAACACTACAATTCCTAAAAGCAGCCTTTAGGGTGGGAGCGTAGTGGGGGCGTGGCCGGAGCCAGCTCCGCCTTCCTCCTCTCCGAGCGGAAGCTGCGAGGCGGCTCCCGGAAGTCGTGGTCCGCAGAGCGGCTGCGCGCTGGGATCGCTATGGCTACCGAGGGGGATGTGGAACTGGAGTTGGAGACTGAGACCAGTGGTCCGGAGCGGCCTCCAGAAAAGCCTCGGAAGCATGATAGTGGCGCAGCGGACCTGGAGCGAGTCACCGACTATGCGGAGGAGAAGGAGATCCAGAGTTCCAACCTGGAGACGGTGAGATCGGCCGGGAGCGCGTCTGGGCAGACGGAGCGGAGGGGGCCCCAGAGGCTGTAGCTGGCAGCCCGAGTGTCACGACTGGGTCCCGATCACGTGGCAGAAGGGTAGAACCAAGGGAAACCGAGCTGCCAGCGGGAGCTGTCCACTTAGCGAAGAGCTGGATGGAAATTGAATGTAAAGTGGCCCTCACGTGCACAGGATTGAATCAGTCTTTGTTTCCTTTGACACGCTTGTCATCACGAATAGCTACACCCCCCGCGTGGCACTGGCTTTTTAGATCATTGGGGACTGCAGTAGGCAGAACATGTGCAATGACGAAACCCGCCTTTTCCATAGGCCATGTCCGTGATTGGAGACAGACGATCCCGGGAACAGAAAGCCAAACAGGAGCGGTAAGTTCTCCACATGCAGCCAGGCCTCCTGTTTTCTTCATACAAAACGAACACCTATTATTGTGTCAGGTTCCTGGCCATCAACTTCCATTTTTGGCCCGACAACACACTGGCGTTGGTTATGAAGGTGGAGAGGGTGGAGTCATTTTCAAAACCAAAACTATTTGTCATCTGATTCTGATTCATAGGGACCCAATTGGACAGAGTAGAACTGCCTCTGTGGGTTTCCAAGACTCCAAATCTCGAGGGGGGTATAAAGGTGGTTTGGAACTGCTGACCTTGGAAGTTAGCAGCCTAACATGTAATCACTGCAACACAAGGGCCCTTTTTATTATCATTTATTTGCAAGGCCCAGCTGGGAATGATTCTTCTGAGAGTCTATGGTGGAGGTAGAGATTGAAGACTAATGCACATGAATGTTTACAGGGAGAAGGAACTAGCAAAAGTCACCATCAAGAAAGAAGATCTGGAGCTGATAGTGAGTAGGAATAGTGCTAAGTGGGGAGGGGCGGGTGCTTTGCTTACAAGTACAATCAGCACATTTGGGTGACAATTGATCATCTTCCTGCAGATGACCGAGATGGAGATCTCCAGAGCAGCAGCTGAGCGGAGCTTGCGGGAGCACATGGGCAATGTGGTGGAGGCTCTTATTGCACTAACCAACTGATCTGTGGATGTCACTGGATTAATTTATTGCAATAAAGATGCTTTTGGCTTATTATTCGGGACCAAGTGCAATGTCTGTTATATTACACTTTGTTAGATGTTGTAGTGTATGTGTGCCTCACCACTAACCTATCCTGTGTGAAGGGTCATATAGGTTTACTTCTGTACTCCTTTTGTTGAGTAAAGGCCTTCAGGTGGTCAGGCTCATTCGTCTGACTGACTAGACTTTTACTCGGTAGCACTCCCAAGGTATACCTGGATTCTCAGCAAAGGTACTATACTCCATGGTATGTATCTCTAGCAGGGCTTTGAACCTTTTTATTCTAGTTGGACCCTTGTTTCCATCTCAGAGCTACTGAATCAGAATTTACACTTTAACAAGATCCCAGGGGATTCTATAAGCCTGGCCTGCAGCTTAGCATGTGAGTAAGTTGAAAGGCCAGTACCTGCCAAAGAGCCATTGTAGGTGTAAATACCAATTTACCGTACAGTCCATTTCCTATTGCAGAAAAGATAAATTACACTTTCAGAGTTTATTAAGTTTGGCCAAGTCACCCTTGCTGAGCATTTGTTTCAATTGTAGAATACATAATAAGGTTTTAAGTATTTCATGATCTGGTTAATGTAAAATGCATGGCCTTGGACTTGCCATCAGAGTGTACACTTGAAATGCCAGCTGCAAACTTCGAAAAGAATTTCCAGGCCTAATTTAATCTTGGCTTTAGAATTTTTTAGATCTCCCCTCCAGCACACAACAGTGACGTATACTTGTGTTCATCTTTATGTGCTTATTTTATCACTGCAGGGTAATTATTTGTACTCATACTTTCATTCTGGGACATTAAAGATGTTTCTGTGTGATTCTCCAAGTGGGGCATTTATTTAAAGGATGCCTGGAAGGACCTTAGTCTTAATTTTTGTGTGCAGCAAAGCAAGTCTTTCCACTGATTAAATGTCTTAAGCCCAGGCCCTAAGAGTTAGTGCTCTGCCTTGTTCATGGTGGTTGTAATACAGGAAAAAAATCATTGAGTTGAATTTAACTCAAGCAGGCTACCACTACACTGCCTATTGGAAAGTTCTAGTGCCCTCCTTGATAATGTGAGCTGGGTAAGGAGGAGATACCAGTAGCTTCTTTATCCTTGGAGTCATTAAGATGGAAACCCATTTCATGGTCAATTTTTGCTCCATGTACAACTATAGAGATTTGGGAAAACCAAACATCTGTAGCTGCTTAGGGAGCATGGTGGCACAGTGGTTATGTGTTTGGCTGCAATCTGTAAGATCAGCAGTTTGAAACCATCAGATGCTCTGAGAAAGATGGGGCGTTCTGTAAAGTTACTGTCTTGAACCAGGAGGCTAAGGACATTTATAGAGGCCTAAATACAGGCACGGACATATATAACTAGATAATGAGAGGGGAATAGAACTATGTAATCATATCTATATGTTAAGAATTAAGGTTGCAATGGTCTTTGGGGTACGACTCAAGTACTCCCTTAACACATGAACACTTTGTTCTAACAATCCAGCATTCTGTGATGCTCACCTTACAGACAAGATCGCTGAAGACAAAATGGGTGCATAAGCAAATGTGGTGAAGAAAGCTGATGGTGTCCGGCTATCAAAAGATACAGCGTCTGGGATCTTAAAGGCTTGAAGATAAACAAGTGGCCATCTAGCTGAGAGCAACAATGCCCACATGGAAGAAGCACACCAGCCTATGTGATCATGACGTGTCAATCGAATCAGGTATCAGGCATCTAAGACCCAGAACAAAATCATACCCAAGGCAAACTGTGTGTGGGGGGGCATGGAGTGGAGACCCAATGCCCATCTGTAGACTCCCCTCACAGAGGAGTCGCAGGGAAGAGATGAGCCAGTCAGGGTGCAGTAGAGCACCAGTGAAACACAACTTTCCTCTAGTTCTTTGGTGCTTCCTTCCCCCCACTAGCATGACCTCAATTCTACCTTACAAATTGGATTAGACCAGAGCATGCAAACTGCTACAGATAAGAGCCCGCAACACAGAAAGCCAGAATAGATAAACCTGTCAAGGCCAAGGAGAGTAGATACCAGTAGGATTAGGGGATGGTGGGAAAAAGGGAATCGATCACAAGGATCTTAGAACCCCCCTCCCAGGGGGACGAATAACAGAAAAGGGGGTGAAGGGTGACGGAGGACGATGTAAGGTATGGAAATAATCTATAAGTTATCAAGGGTTCGTGAGAGAGGATGGGCAGGGGAGGGAGGGGAAAAATGGGTAGCTGATAGTGGGTTCAAATGGGAAAATGTTTTGAAGATGATGATGGCGGGATATGTGCAAAAGTGCTTGACACACTGGATGAATGTATAGATTGTGAGATGTAAGAGTCCCAGCTGCAGTGGCACCACTCACTATTACTCCTAGTGATCCACTTGCAGCATTTTTGCTTCCTGTCCCAGCAACCTTGTGTTCCTTAGGCCTGGAGGTCTTGGTCCTGAAGGAAGGAACTCTCCCACCCGGACACACAGCACGGATTCTACTGAACTGGCAGCTGAGAATGCCCCCTGGCCACTTTGGGCTTCTCATGCCTTTGGATCAACAGGTCAGGAAGGGTGTCACTATACTGAGTGGTGTGATTGGTCCTGATTACCAAGGAGAAATTGGACTGGTGTTACATAATGGAGGTAAAGAAGAATATG